CCCTCAGTGATCTCACAAACACATATTTTATGTTACAAACACTTGTAAATAGTATAAGCATGTTTTTTATATATATATATATATATATATATATATATATATATATATATATATATATATATGTTAATTTTATGTCCAATTTACACTGTAGGTTATTTGTTAAAGTGTACATTTTTGGAAATTCAAACCAAATTTAATGTAAATTTCAAATTTTATAGCACAATAACTGAAGATGAAAACATTCCATATTTTGTATTCAGTTTAGCTTTTGTGACCTAAAAATTTTACATTCACTTTTAATTCCCAACAAACTCACACTTGTGTGAATTACTCGGACTAACTTATGCTCCCTACATTACCTTTTCATCTCTAATTGGATGATGAATGCTAACATATTGGGGTCTAGTTTTCGATGGACTCCGTATTTAGAGCATTTTAAAACATTAAAATGTACACCTTTAGGATACATTCAGAACTTAATTATTAACTGATGTAATGCCCATAATTTGGTGGTGGATCAGGTGGCTGGGAGCTTGGCGACTAGCCTGCTTACGCTCAATTTCAACCTACACTGTAGACGTTGCAAGAAAACCTGATGGGGTTTATTGAATCTATTTTATACATGAGAACTAGATGTCATGGTTTCTGTTTTCCTGTGGACAGGTTTCAGTCAGAGCATTGTATTTTTTTGTAACTGAGAAACACAAGATATTAAATCCCACTTTGGTGTAACGATTGACCTGATGGCAGAAAAGAAAAGCACTGTAGAAAATGGACCTCAAAATGTTTAAAGTTTACTTACAAGTTTCTATATTCACATGTTGATTATACATATGTTTTTCTTTACTATTTAAAGGAGGCTGTACAATTGTTTTTGGAAAATCATTCTCACCAAATCAACAAGACTGGGCTAATTCTTGATGCTTCAGTGCTGAATCATAGTCTTGGAGGTTCCTCAAGGCAAGTAATTGTGAAGACAGCAGTCCCCATGGCACTATACCAATCATGTACAGCCAGCCAGTGGGACCTTCATTAGTAATGTTATACCGAATGACTGCAAAGTTGTTACTGGACAACCTCAGTCAGGAAGCTCAAAATTAATCATAGACCCACAAAACAAATGGGAAACCTCGTCAAGCCAGTCCAATATTATTTTAGGTCCGAAATGTTGCTAAGTCCATTTCGTCCAATATTCCGGTGTCACAGATCCTTGAATTATTTTGTGTATTTAGAAGAATATTAAAGGGAAACTCCAGTGCCAGGAAAACAATCAGTTTTCCTGGCACTGCAGGTTCCCTCTCCCTCCCACCTCCCAATCCCTGGTAGCTGAAGGGGTGAAAACCTCTTCAGGTCACTTACCTGAGACCCCGCCGATGTCCCTCGGCGGTGGTTTCTTCTCGCCGCCGCTCTTCCCAGTCAGACTGATCCCGCCCACCGACCGGGGAGACCTAATGCGCGAAGGTGGAGTTAACCCTGTAGGGTAATTATTGCAGTTTATAAAAAACTGCAATAATTACACTTGCAGGGTTAAGGGTAGTGGGAGTTGGCACCCAGACCACTCCAATGGGCAGAAGTGGTCTGGGTGCCTGGAATGTCCCTTTAAGGGACTTTAATTTGAGTCC